ATATATGAGTTACTAATACCACTAGAGCCAATTAATTTAGCATTTTGAGTGTTTAAAACGGATTTTTAACATGCATCGATTCACCATGAAGGTGCACCGATGCACGCCTTGAATGTGCATCGATGCATAAGGCCATGCATCGATGCATCCATCGGGTTTTTGGATAAAAACCCTATTTCTTCCTCATTTTCTCAAAACTCTCTTAAAACCCTCTCTTGGACGCCGCTCCTCTCTCTCTCCTAACTATCAAAATTGCTCCAAATCCTTGGTTTTTGATCGGAATGTTTGAGATTTTCAACTCTTAATCCTACTCTTATCATCAAATCGTGCAAAACAACATCTCATTCTCATCAATCCGAAATTTTCAAGGTAATATTTCAAAAACCTCTATTTTATTGATTTTTGATCTTAGGACTAGTTTTAATTAGTTCCAGATGAACATTATATCGGACATTGATTGTTTTATGATTAGAAACTAGATTTTACAACTAATTTCATCAAAAACTCACAAATTTTCAATGAATTTTTGAATTTTGAAATAAAAAAAATGAAAATCTGAATTTAATTTTTAAATTTGATGTTTCTGATTTAATTATGTTGTTTTCATGAAAACTATACATATTATGATTTTACAAACATTATTTTCAAATAGTTTTCAAAAACCATGTCCATTAGGATTCGGTTTAGAGAACCTTGAATTATTGAGGACTCAATTGAGTTTTGGGATTGATTATATTGCATACATGTGTTTCAATTTGCAGGTTATATTCCTTTTTTCGATTCCTACACCATGTCTAATCCCAAACACCCTAGAACTTCATCGAGTCGTTCTCGTTCAAACCAACCTCCTAATCCCATTTCTCCTCCACCTAATAGCCTATTAGGATCTTGTTTTAATATTCTGAATGTCGTAGAGACGAATTGTACTCTAGGTACAGAAATTCTTTCCAATCATATAGAATCCGGGAAGAGCGTATTCCTTCTCTTCAAGCCATGATTGATATTTACTTCGAATACCTTTCGATTCTTAAAACTTGGAAGTTTGATAAATTTTTTCACCTCAAACCTATCTTCTATCAATAGTTAGTCTGCATCTTCTACTCCAATGCAGTATGCATTCAAAACCAAACTCAATATGGGACTATAGCCATTAGATCCTATCTTTTAGGCCAATATATTAATATAGACCCCGAGACTATAACTTTCCATTTTGGGTTAGATGATGATGGGTTATATAATGAGAATGAAAATATGGAATATCACTATGTTCCAAACTCTAGTGTTAGTACTCTGCGATCTCATCACGATCGTTTTCTTAATTTGATGACCTCTTGGTGGTTTAGACCATCCGGAGGTAGGTACTCCACTCTTCGTACTAGGGATTTTTGGTGGATGCATTGTATTAAGAATAAGATCAAAATAAATCTGCCCCACATTATAGTCAACTAGTGGACATCATAAACATTGTTCCTTCAAAACATGTCGAAACATTGATTTATGGATGTCTTCTTAGTAACCTTTTTATCAAACTTGGTCTAAACGTCTCTCTCGACAATCCTATCCCTCTCCAAAATCAAATCAGTCTCACCTCATTGAAGAAAGCGGATTGGAAACAAGACGAGGAAACCGGTCTTTGGGTTTTTCGACCTGGTAAGCAAACCCGGGAGCTAGTTCTTCACGAGCTGCTCCTAGTGTTGTATAAAAATATAATTTAAAATTTAATTGTTTAGATTTGCTGTTAAAAAATGAATTTGAAAAGATAAAATGTGAATTATAGATTATGTTGTAAATTAAAAATTTAAATTTAAATTATATTTACACTTATATATAAATCATATTAATTTAAACTATAAAAATCAAAAAATATTATTATATATGAATTATATCCATTACTAGAGTAAAAATATAAAAGATACAAGTAAATATATTTTATATAACTCATTATTAATATTTTAATATATAAATCATGAATTTTATTTATTTTTAAATAATTAAAATAATTTATTAAAAGTAATAAATTATTTTTAGGGGTGTTAGTATTGAATTATTAAAATAAAATATAATTACATAATTGAGTGTAGTTCATGCATTAGCAAGGTTAAAATTATAATTTGATTTCAAACGCAAAGTTGAAAATAAAAAAAATTAGAAATCCTAACTTTGTGGTTGGTTTGAAACCACTTTTCCATCGTAGTTTTTCCATTTTTTCCCGTTTGACATTGATTTTACAATCAAACGGACTTTTTAGCTATAAGTGTTTTTTGAAAGTATTACCAAACAAATCCTAAGTTTCTAACGTCACCACCAAAATATTGTGTTGAGACACTTTTTATTTATAGAACTTTCCTAAAATTTCAACCTTTCTCTTTCTGGTGATAGGAGTTATTTTCTATTATCGTTCGACTCTTATCAACCATCAATAAAAATAATATTTTTCTCTCATTTTTTTAGTTTTATTTTTCTTAAAACTGAGAAAAAATTAATTTTTTTTTATCTTTTTCTATTCTATAATCTTTATCATCTTATTATTTGAAAATTTGAGATAAATTATCTACTTTTTTCTTGGCCTCTCTACTATTTGAATTCGAAAAGAAATACTCTTAAATCCAATGAATCAAATAGAATTTCTTTGTATAAATAAATTGAAATGACATTAGACATGTAATAATTACATGATTAAAGTAAAAATAATTCATATTAGAGACCATTGTTTACAAAATTGTTTCGACTCGAATTATAATATCGATTACAACAATAACTAAAATACTTATAAAATCAATTCAATTTGATTTTTTACTAGTAATAGATAAATACAATATTAACATAGTTTAGCTTACTGAAATTATTTTTTATCCAGAGCAATATTCTGTTTATATCACAAGATTAAAATAATTATATTTTTCATGTATATCACTCTTGGGATAGGATTATTTTTATATTATAATCTACATTATCACATGAGTAAAAAATATAAGAAAAAAACTATATTTTTCTATAAGTTACGTGATTAATTGCGTCGAATCAATTCTAATAATTTTTTCTTATCAAATATTTATTGATATTATATTTTTAAATATTCGAACAATCCCATACTAATTAATCCAATTTGCAGTGGTAACTTTTGGGATTCGATCATCTGTAAAATGCTTGCATGTTTATGATCTATTTTCACAGAAAAGCTCTTGCTTGACGGTTCGGCTATTATCAAATTACTATATTTTCCCGTAAAATACAAATTTCGTGATTAAAAAAAGAAACGGAATAAGTTAAAAACGGAGCGTTCCGAGGATAGATATTGGGACCTCTCACTCAAAGCAAAGCAAGAATCATACTAGACCAAGTGCCCTAACACATCATTCTCATTTAAATAAATTTTTAACATTTATGAACTTCACACCATATATTGTTTTTATCACAATCCTTTTTAAAAAAAATAATTACTGACTTTAAATTTATTGTCGAGTAATTTAAATTAAGTTATGTAGAAAGTAATCTTTTTAATTTAATTAATTTTATTTACAATCGTCACAATTTGAACTCCAAATCCTACTTAAAAAAATTAAGTCTTTATCCCATTAATTTTTTTAATAAAACACTATTCCTTTCTTCTTTTTGGTAATTTGTCTTTCACCACCCGCGGTTTCAACTTCACGACGAAAGGAATCGTGCACACAAGCAGCATCCATCTCTAGATTGGATTTCAACTTCACGACGAAAGATATCAAACTCAAAGAAGGAGTGCCTGTCAACAAACTTCCCAGTTTCAGAGTCAATTTCAACTTCACAGCGAAGGATATTGGCCTCGAAACAACGCAACTTCACGACGGAGGGGCCATACACGATTTTAACTTCACAAAAAGATTGACCCAACTTGAAACAAAATTTTGTCTCTCTTGAGACAGTTTCCCTTGAAACAAAATCTTTGAATTTGTTTTCCTTGAAACAAATTTCATCTCCCTTGAGACAGTTTCTTTTAAAACAAATTTCGTTTCCCTTGAGACAGTTTCTTTTAAAACAAATTTTGTATCTCTTGAGACATTTTCTCTTAAAATTTTTCTCTCTTGAGACAGTTTCCCATGAAACAAAATCTTTGAATCTATTTCCCTTGAAACAAATTTTGCCTCTATTAAGAAAGTTTCCCTTGAAACAAAATCTTTTAATCTGTTTTCCTTTAAACAAATTTCGTCTCTCTCGAGACAGTTTCTCTTGAAACACAAAATCTTTGAATTTATTTCCCTTAAAATAAAATTTTGTTAACCTTGAGACCGTTTCTCATGAAACAACAAAATCTTTGAGATCGTTTCCCTTGAAACGAATTTTGTCTCTTTTGAGATAACTTCTCTTGAAGCATCATCTGAATCATGTCATTTAAATCAGAGGCAAATCAAATTTACAGCATAGCTCAAGGCAAGAAGGGTTATCTATCAAAACTGATGAGTTCGATTCTATTCAGCTCGATGCCGCATCAACCACGTGGTGGAGTCCAGGAACTACTTCCTAATACTCTGAGTTCGATTTCAACTTCGCGACGAAGGATTTCGTGCTTAGAATTTTCCAGTTTCAACTCAATCTCACAACGAGGGAGTCATTTTGGGATTCAATCCAAATTTACAAATCAGTCTTCATATCATATTTCAACTCTACGACAGAGGACATTCGATATGGACGAAATTTGTGTCTTATAATCTTTGCTCTATTTTCGTTACATGATAATAAGCAAAGAGGGGCAGCTGACGACACTTAATTTCGCCCACACAAATTATAACATATATATATATATATATATATATATATATATATATATATAATATATTATATATATATATATATATATATATATATATATATGTGTTTATTTACATTTTATTTCTTTTGTACAGGCCCAAGTACAATCTGTTGAAGCCCAAGATCTGCTGGAGTGCAGCCCACCACGCGGACCCAATACCTAGACCCAACACAATCAGCTAGGGTTCCCAAACCCTAGCAGCTTCTCACCAGCGATGCATGCTCCCTGCTCTTCTCTACGCCGCATGGAGTCAACCCCACGCCACCGGTTTTCACGGCATCAACAACAGCCCGAGTTCTCAGGCGCAAGGATCTCGCATGACTCATCCATCACCAACAAACAAGGGTATTAGAGTTCTATTAGGACTCAAAATAAGTCTAAAAATAGCATAGATTTATACTATAAATGTTGATGTAATCAAACCCATTAGGCATGAATTTTACGCACAAATATACTTGAAAATAACACATGAAACATACCAGAGGAAGACCGAACCACTCGGTGCATTTGTAACGTTTTTGAAGGAAATAAAAAGGTGGAAATTTTTACCTTATTGGCTTCATCATTCATGCATGCTTGCTTTTTCCGATTTGAGTACCTAAAACGCCAATGAAATAAGGGGGTCTTTCGAAACTTTTCGTTTTAGATCTAGCCCCGAGGCTCGGTTTGAACAAACTTGTTTTGGTTTTTTTAAGAAAGGAAGAAAAAAGGTTTCTAAAAATCAAAAATTAAATTTGCCACCGATGGCAGGCGAGGCGGCGCGATGGTCGATTTCTGGGTTCACATGAACCCCACGGCAGCGTTCATCCCAGATGATGAACATGTGAGAGGAAAACATGAACAAGGGGGGGCTCTCTCGGTTTTGGAAGAGGAAATGACAAATTAAGCCAAATCAATGGCTTTTATAGCGACCCGCTTTCCCGGAATAGGATCAGCGTGTCGACCCGCCCCGATCGCCTGACCAGCGTGTTTTCAAAACAAAATGGGGTAATTATTATTTGGCCCCCCGACTGTTTTTAAGCCTCCATTTTAGCCCTAAATCAGTTTTAATTCCCTATTTGTTTTGAAATTGGCCCCCTGATTCGTTTTTCTTTCGATTTGGCCCCATACGATTATTTTACTATTTTTATTTATTTATTCCTATTTATTTATTTATTACTTTAACCATTATTATTTTTTAAATGTTAATATTATTATTATTCCTTATATTTTTTTATTATTTTTTTATTTTTCTTATATATTACGTTTTATTACTATATATATTTTATCATCTATATTATATATATATATATATACGTATTTAATTATATTTTCTATTTTAATTTTCTATATCTCTTTATTTTTTAGTTTTCTATTTATTTATATTATATTACTATTTTTTATTATTGTTATTTTTATTTTTATTATTTTTTAATATTGTTTTTCGTATTTTTTCATTATTTTTTTCGTTTTTACTTCCTTTATTATTTATTTTCGTTTCTTCCCTATCTAATACATATTTTGACTTTTAAAGGGTACATTTTCAATCAATCAAAGGTAAGCAACTTGGATCGTATTTTTACCTTTAAATTTAAACTTACAATTTTCTTACTTAATGACAACTGGAAATTACGTAGTACCGAAAGGACAGTTCAAGTGTGCTAACCCTTCTTGACTGTAACCGATTCCCGAATCCAACATATCACTGGTAAGACGCAGATCAGGTAAGAAATAAGGTATCCGATCTATCCATTTGTTTTAAAATAAAAGATCGGTGGCGACTCTTAATTCATTTTCCTAAGTCGAAGCCCGATTCCGGCCCACCCGAAAGACGGTTCCAACACTAATGATTTGTTCATGGAATTTGTTACTTTTGACTGAGTTTTGGATTCTGAAATCATCGTTTTTACCAGGATGCTGCTAAGCCCCAGATGTGTAATTATAGATACCAGCTTGAGGAAGAAGTAAGATGATCCTATTTGTCTCTCTAAATATTCCCTTTCGATTTCGGAATCAGTTTATGCAGATTGCATGTTATGTTTTGGATTCATGTCTGTTTTTTAGTTATTTGAACTTAAATGATGTATTCTACATTGTTCTTTGATACATAAAAACTCCAGTCATTGTTGTGAAGTTCATTTTCCTTTTGACATTTCCGATTTCTTCGATTTGTGCTTGTCAGAGACGTGTATTAGGAAACATGGGATATGCAATGATTGGTGTATTCTCGAGCATTTTCCTTGGCTCTTTTTACTAACACCCGAGGCAAGATAATTTGATTTATTCCACGAGGAAGCCAAGAAGTATTAGCATCAAATTAGACTTGGTTGAGGAGAAGAAATACGATATATAGAGAATAACAGTAGTTCTAATCAATGGTTAAATGTGCCATGATCATGGCGTACATGTTTTGAAAATTTTATATCTCTTTTTCATGCAACATGCTGCCGCTTGGTACTACAGGTTAAAAAGTTGCAGCAGCAGTTGCAGGAAGAGACCCATTTGCACTTAGCTCTAGCAAGTGCCGTCGAACACTGTGGTTCGTCTTCTCTGGGAAAGCTTCCGGATAAGGTCAGTTTCCCTGTGTGGGATTTCTCTTCTATTTTTATGTTCTTCTCTTAATCTCCTAAATTCGGCTTTCAGGCACAGGAGCTTTTAGATAGCATGGCTGTTCTCGAGATTACTGTATCAAAGCTCGAGCAGGAATTTGTTTATTTACAATATCAACTTAGTCAGGAGAGGAACGAGCGACATCTTTCTGAGTACCATTTGAAGCATTTGCCGTGTCACTCAACATCACTTTTTGATACCTTTCTGGGTTACTTAACCGAACCAGTACTGTCACCTATATCCTATTATTTCTTTTATTCGACAGAGGTAAAGCAAGAGCCGACTAACAATCTATTTGTCTCAGATTGCCAGGATTTGCAATGAAGAGGAAGCAGAAGAAAACACGGATGATATGCTTTTGCCAGAGGCTTTAGTAGATAACAACTATATCGTGGAGAACCTTTGGAATCACCCCAATCAGCTATCGGAAGAAATGGTCCTGCGTTTGAGAGATATTTTCATTTTCTTAGCAGATTCATCCAAGCTCTCTTCTTCGTCAGCGTCTTCTGCTTCACCTCACTGCCCCCTTGCCCATTTTTTGGCATCTTCCTTGGACTATGTGAGCACCATTTTCCAATGGGTCTCAAGCCCAAACCCGACCCGGACAAAGACCCGACCCACCGACCGTTTCACCCAACCGAGGGCCACCCCTATCTGTACCAACCAAAAGAATAGTTACCCACGCGCTACCCTGCATTAGAAACAAAGAGAAATAAACAAAAGAGTAATCATTTCATTTCCGGTGTAATGGGTTTTAAAACCCAACAATTAATCTGTAATAAGGGTCTGAAAAATCCTTCAAAAAAAATACTATAACCATTTTTGTTCAAAGCAATAAACAGGGTTATTCCTTTTGATTTTATTTCGAATCGTTTTTGGATCTTATTTAGTTATTTTTTCCATTCGTGTTTACTGTTTCGTTCTTAATCTCGGTAAAAAAGAAAGTTTTTTTGTTTTTCTTTCTTCAGTTCCAAAAATAACAAGCAATATTTTTTTTAAATCGAATGAAGGAAAAACAGAGGCCTTTTTTAAAACGTGCATCGAATATGTTTTTATTTATTTTTTTATTTCAAATCCAATAATCCTAGCTAGCCAGCAAATAAAACGAAAAAAAAAGTAAAAAGGGGTAGAGAGATCATACCCAAGTCGTACACGTCGTCGGAATCCAGAGGGGAGTCAAAAGCGTGGCCTTCTCTTTCGGATTTAAGTTGGATTTCGGCGTTGTTAACCCCAAGTGTGGGCTTAGTTTGGTAGATATGGGCTTGGGGATTTTTTTTTGAATTTTTTAGGCGATTTGGTTTTCTGGCCACCATGTAAGGCGGCCGGCCGGATTTGGGCGAGAGAGAAGGGGATTCTCTCTCATTTTTTTCTTCTGAAAGTTGGTTTAAATAAAAAAAAAACATATGATTAATATATATAGGCAAAGTTCAGGGGTAAATTGTGTTTTAAACCCTTGTAACTTTTTCGTGTTTTTATAGTTCGATCCTTCGGGGACCAAAACTGATATTTTACCTTTTTAATGTGCATGTTTTAATTTTTTGATAAATTTACTATTTTATTCCCTCAAACTTTACTGTTTTTTTATATTTTGGTCACTGGACATTTCTTTTCTAATTTATTGTAATTTTTATTTCTGTTTTGTTTTATTTTAATTTAGTCACTGTTAGTTTCTAATTTAGCTACTGTTATTTTATTTTTTGCATTTTGGTCACTGTTTATTTCTGATTTAGTTACTAATTTTTATTTTTTGCATGTTAGTCGTTTCTATTTTATTTTATTTTGATTTAGCCCTTATATTTTGGTTTGTTTTAATTTAGTCCTATTGCATGTTTAGTTTATTATCTTTTAGTTTAGTAATTTTATATTTACGCAATTAAGTCCTCATATTTTAGGTTTATTTTATTTATTTTATGTTGTATTTTTTTTATTATTTATTTGTTGTTTTAATTATTTTATTTAAGTTTATTAATTGTTTTTATATATTATAGTTTTATTTCTAGATTTAGTTTTAAATTAGATTAATATTCAAATCAAACTTAGAAATTAGGACAATACTTTAGTTTAATTAGGGAGCAATTCAAGTCGAGTTTTCGCATTTATGCCCGATTACTCGAATCGATTGTTCGATTCTAAAATTAACTAATAATTAATATTTTCTAAAAGTTTTAGTGTAATAATTTAGGTAATAATTAGATTTTAATTAGCCCCTAACTTTAGAAATTATTAATTTAGGTCCTAACTTTTAAATCTTTTAGAACTCGGTATTTTAGACCTTGACCTTTTTAGTCCCTGAACTTAGATTAGACTCTTCATATTAACATAATTAAATAGGTTAAATAGAGCCTCCATTTTTAGCTAGATTTTGATTTAGTCTCTTTAATTTAGGGATAATTCGAAGTGGCTCTCGCTTAAAAGCTCGAGGGACCATTTCGGTTATTCGACTTAATAATCGATTAAAATAAAATAGGATTAATTTTAGGGTCTATGTTTTAGATTTAAGCCCCTAGGTTCTTTAATTTTCATAATTTGTCACCGTAAGTTAGAAAAAGTCTTAATTTATTTTTTGTATAATTAGGATAAATAAAATTTTGCTTGATCGCATAGTTTTTATAAATCTAAGGCACTATTCACTTATTAAGGAATTAATAGTATATCTCTAGCGATCATGCTCAGGGGTGACTACTGGTAATTCCCTAAATAAGTTGACATACATTTCAAAACCGCATCATATTTTCTAAAAATAAGACAATGTTCGGTTATTAGGCACAATAGCTTATCTCCCGCATTTACGCTCGGGGGAGAATGCTATCGGTCTCAATAAACGAATACTCTTTCAATCTCTGCATCCCTAATGATTTTTAAATTAAAAAAAGATCAAACTCAAAAATTTTTATTTTAAATATAGGGTTATCAACTAGATACCAATTTTTAGGCGCTTGTGGGGGTGCTAATCCTTCCCCACGCGTAACCGACTCTCGAATTGATTTCTAGATTTTTGTAGACCCCAAAACTCATTATTTTGATAAAAATAAAATATTTTATTAAAATCACCCGATTTTTATGGTGTTCCAATTGCACCTTAACTGGCGACTCCTCATATTTCGAAACGATTTTCAAAGAGAAAACCCCTAAGTCGGTATCGGCCTTTTCCCCTCTCAGGCGAAAAACAGTGTCGACAACTTGGCGACTCTGTTGAGGACTTTTATTTTTTAAACAAATTGATAGTCGAGCCACGAGTTGGTTACCCTATATTTATTAATTTGTAAATTACGAGTTCGATCTTATTTAATTTATAGTTCATTATGTTATTTCAAAAAGAAAAAACAGATTTCTCTCTGCTAATGCTTAAACATCGGTGAATATTTAGGAATGTTGCATATCATAGCTCTAAACCCGAGCTCTAACCCGATTTACCTATGTAGAGAGAAATGTCACACCTTACGAGGAGCATTGGACTTCCTTGTGTGGGTCTGATAAAGTATCTCTGGAAAGCACCCTAAGTTGCCTATCCGAATATCAGATTTGATGTACGCTTTTAGTGGTGTAATCCCTTAAGATGAAACCGATTCGCAAGTCTACAATGGGCCAGAATCGGGGGCAACCTTAGCAGGTTGTAAAGATGGCTTGGGAACCATTTGCTAGAACCCAGCCTCAGATAGAGAATTTAGTAAGCCTACCCCGCTAGAGCCATGTGGATAGCCTAGGAGAACTAGAACGCATGCGGTTAGGACTGTCAATTTTCTTTGTATGTTTTGCTTTTCAGTCTCAGTTGTGAGTCATATTTAATTATTTTTTCTAATATTATATTTCTTTGACTAATTATTTCAACTAACTTGATTCTTTCTGTCTTGTTTCTACTAACATTGGTTTCCTTTTGTCTGTTCTTATTGCATTTTTTCATAAACATGACATATCATTCAAAGGTATTGATCCCTAAAAAACTTATCATTTAGAAGGTTCTTGAAAAACAATGCCACAACAATGCCTTTCGCTGGGATCGGTAGAAATTCAAAGATGCTCTACGTAGATCGAGTAGCATCGAGAGGGAGTCTACCTACTAAGGAGATGATCAGACATCTGCCTGCTGAGGTAACAAGTTGGACTCGAGACAATTCGACGCCGAAGCCAACAGTTGAAGATCACGAACCACTCAAAAGACTTCTGAAAGTAGGAGACGAGGTAGAAGCTTTGAATATGATGCAGTACCCAGATGCTCGCAGGAGCTAGGCAACTTACAGATGGACCAGATCTTCACTTCCCCAGTGTACCGAGACATTGTCGGTTTTTCAAGAATTTTTCTAGGAACAGTTATTTTGAGATTAATTCCTTTTTGCATCTCGCATTTTGCACTCCCATTTTTACATCTTTGTATTTTCATGTGCATCTTCGCATAAATATATACACATTGTGCATTACATGGTATATATATTGTATCTCAACATGTGCACTAATCATGGATTCTGAGAGTAACTCACGGAGAGTTTTGTAATAAATTTTTTTAGATAAGATGAAGTCACACCTTTAGTACCAAAAAATAATTGAAAGCTATGGACGTGATGTTAGCTCCATCTGAAGATCAAGGCACCTAATTGAGAATTGTGGGGCACTTAAGCGCAAGATCCAGAACCTGATGTATTCATAGGCATAGATAATCGAAGAATGATAGAGGCAATGCATCTACCATTTGCACTGAGAGCATTGTTTCGTTTGAAATCGTTTTTGTTCTGTCTTTCATATTTGATTAATCTTTTAATGATTGAACTTATGCTACCTTCTAAGGTTGAATAATTAAACGAGTTTTAATCTTTAGTTCTTTGAATATCAAATGAATTACGAATTCTCTTAATTCTTCAAGAATTATAGATTTTTGACATATGGCAAGATTAGACCTTTCTTATCCTGTCTAAAACCCCAAAAATAAAATCTCTTAATTCTTTACCCTAAATAATTCATGGTCATTACCAAAGAACCAAAATTTGACATTCAATCTTTTTGAGACTTTGAAACATTACTTTTATCTTTTTCAAGACAAAAATCATACTCTTACCTTTCTTTGAGCCAATAAAGTCAAATTATCGTCTTCTTAGACGCGAAACCAACATTTTTACCAATAAAACCTAAAGACATTGAGTACAAGATGTTCACTTGAACGTAAACCTTCTTCTGAGAAGACAACGTGGGACATCTCGCATCAATTTTCTAAAATTGAGCTTGTACAATTGAGGCATGCTGGAAGCAATAAGTAGAAAAAATTAATTCAAAATAATTTTATCATGAATTAATTACATTGTTTTCATGTGAATAAAATGAATCCTGAAAATCAATCCCCCTGGGGATACCTCTTATGCAAGGACTTCTGTGTATGAATTGATGAATGGCTTTCTTTCTTTATCCCTTCGCAAAAGGAAAAAATATATCCTTGTGTCCCCTTTGAGCCTAAATTATGTTTTCTTCTTATTCAACCCTAACCAATGATCACCCTCCACACTGGGGGGCAAGGTTGAGGAAATTTGCTCGCATGAGTGACAACCATCAATCCAAATGAGATACCAAAATGTGAACCAAATGAAAAGTGCGAAGATCAAATCAAAGAAAAAAAACAGAAAAGCAAAGAAAAAAGAAAAGAGAAAAAGAAAAGAGAAAAAAACATAGAAAAAACAAAGAGAAAAAATAAAAAAAAAGCAAAGAAAAAGGCAAGAA